GACATACTATTTTATATTGGTTTCACACCTGACTTACATTTATTATTGCTAAGATATTATGACATGGCATACTTCAGTTTTTGCTGCTCTTGGGCATTGGTTTTTATACCTACATAGTAGTATTATTTTTTGGAAACTATACGGATTTTACAGCGAGGGGTTATAACGCTTTCATAAGGTTTTTATTTAAAACTTTAGTTTTTGGCCCACTCACCCTTATTTTTCGCCCATCCAGGTGTTAGTAGTAGAGTTTTCGTACCGACGAGGATTATTGGCAAATCTTGGTGTAGGCGATTATCATCGATGGTATAATTCTCACAGTGAATTGGGTTCATTTCCTCTCACAGTGCACTCTTGTATTTAGGCACTTTTAGATTTAAATTTAGTCACATTTTTCACATCACTACACTTTATGGCTTCGTCACATTCCTAGTGTCGGCCTACACAGCTCGATTCGAAGTCCTAGTTGACAGTTTGGGTCGGGGGTGTGTCATAAGTAAATTGGGTTTATGATTACTCATTATTCTAGTGATTCTTTCCTATTATGATGTGTATTACCTGAAGAACAAATTTTTCTCTCCCCATAATTTACTATAAATAAAAACACTGACAGAGGGGAATAATATCCTACAATTCTCCACTGCATTATTTCTTTCCCCACCCTCTCTCTCTCTGTGAAGTCTTATGATTCCTAAATTTTATTATATAATATATATACATGAGACATGCTTATATGAATATATTTTTAGACTTCTCTTACTTTTATTAATTTCGTTTTTGCATAAATTAGTTTGTAGAAACGTTTTTATCTTGGCAGTGAATTCACCCTATAGAAACTATGTTTAAGCCACTTGGAGTAAGAAAACTTCTTTCTTGTTTAGTTTAATAATTTTTTACACCATAAAGTGTTGCTTATTGTTAGCTATATAAATTGACGTGGAAGAATTTAGGAGAAGGTTGAATGGGTTTGTTGACTTGAGGTGGCATTTGAATGTAACTCTAGGGTGAATGCACTGGCATAAGAGAAATAACATCCTCTAATTTTCATACTGTTCGTTGCAGGAATCTCCTGGCGGACGAGCACACAGCTCCCCTGGGAGAATGGCGTCGGTTGAGGATATCTGTCGTACTTCTGCTTTCTTCTCGGGCTCGCTCGGGCAAGCCTTTGTCGGGCAGATCTTGGTCGGGCAAGACACACTTCGGGCAAGGCTCGTCGGGCAGTTCTGAAAGAGAAAGACAGAGTTAATTTGAAAGGGTGCCTTCGTGGGGCCTTAGATGTAGGCCTTAAGGCTCACAATCAAGATTAACTTTGTCGTGCTCAGGCGTGCCACTGCCATCTTCAGTATGGCAGATGTTGAATGGGTGTTAAGCTTTGATTGAATATGTATACGCCCGAGAAACCAAGTTAGATATAACAGGTGCCTTTGTAGGGCCTTAGGTATAGGCCTTGAGGCTTCCTGTCAAACTAAACCAGCGCTTGGATGTATCATATTTGGTCTTTTATGGTTGCCCGAGTCTTATCACTATTATACTTTTGATTATTTGAATCCAAGAGGTAGGACGAACCCAAATGAGTGCCTTTGTAGGGCCTTAGGTATAAGCCTTGAGGCTTCCCATCAGAGTTAATCCTTATACTCGGACCAACTAGACCACAACATGAAATGAAGCTAAATAGATGCCTTCGTGGGGCCTTAGGTGTAGGCCTTGAGGCTTTCTATTAGAATTCACTCCCTGCTTAAGCCTTTTCTATGAATCAAAATATAATAGCAACAAAACGGAGAAATAGATTGATTACTTGCGCCCCAAGTAACTTCGGACTTCTCGCTTATCAAGGATTGTCGTGGATGGGTTGAGTCCACATAGAGTTCTTTTTTATGCCTTGAGGCCAAGGACTTTTAAACTGATCTTTAAATTACATGCCCGCCGGGCTTGAGACTTAGATCTGATTTGAACTCTGACACGATTCAGATCGGATCCAAGTGCTGAAGACTCATTTTCATTATGACTTTGCTAGAAATAACTTGTATATAACTGGGAATATATAACATGTTATTGTGCTTTTAAAAGAAAGAAAAGACAAAGACAGAGCAAAGATAGTCGGGTAAGTTTGAACCTTATCGGCCAAGGCTGAACTTCTTACAAAATCTATCTTTGTGGCTCTGTCAGAGGTCTGAAAGCTTTTAGAGGGGTTGACGGGGGAGAAGAGGATACAAAATGAATCGATACCACCATGAACAAGGTAGCAGAGCTATTACAGGGGTTTGGGAAGGTTTATCCCGAATGGGATGAAGGCTTGTGCTGACTACAGCTTCGTTGAAGGCAAATCTGGCTTGAGCAGAGTTTTGGCTTTTGTTTGTTTGTTTGAGTGTCCTTAATTCTGTCTTCTCTTCCTCCTTTTATAGACGACTTCAGCTTGGGTTCCTGTAGCAATAGAGGTTGCCCGAATGCGGTTCGGTGATGACTCACTAGCTTTTTTACATGAATGCCATCAATAAAGTACTTTATTGGGCTATGCAGTGACTGAATAACCTACCCCCTGTGGTCTTTGAGCAGGTAAGCAGGTGGCCTTTGTAACTTGTGCCCAGCCGAAAGCCTCTTTCCTGCCTCCTAAGTTTTCCTCTAGGCCTTGGGTTTGGGCCGGCCTTCTCTCTGGCCCAAAGTTCAGATTTTATCCCAAACACATACGCCTTATTTCTCTCCACTCTGTTGCCGCAACCTTGGTAGAGAAGTTTGATTCTAGATGTTGGCTTTCTTTCGGAATTCAAATCCCTCCTCCAAGTTAATATTTGGATTCCGAAAATATTAAGAATTTGATTATTGAAATTGGGTAGAGCCCAATAATATTTTCATTATTAAAATTTAGTAAACACTGAAGTCACTTAGAAAAGAATTTGATTCCCTTTCTTCTACCTTCGTTTAATTTTTGTAAACATCCATTCTGATTTTGTAAAGGGAAATTTTATTTAAACCCATTTAAGCTCTTTTTACACCCAACTTAAATTTTAAATGTTAATTATCTATTTTACCCTATTGCATAATTACTATTGAGTACAAAATGAAATTAATAATAAAACTCAAATTTATCAATAAACCCAAACACTATAATTAAACCATACGGTCACTCTTTGTTTATCCTACGTTCATTCTGGCTAAAACCCTAATAACTCTCATAGAGAAAAATAAGTTTTTTTATTGATGGTTTGTGATTTTGAAATTTTGAATCCTCCAACCAAGGTATAACTCAATTTATGATTTTTTTTTCTCTCCGATTGCATTGTTAACCACCTCTCTATTTCGAGTTTTCCTTTCTCACCGTACTGATAAGAGCAAATTAATCTGCTCATATATCACCCCAAGTCTACGGTCTATAATATAACAACACTCCTTAAATTATTGAAAATTGAATCAGAACAAGGCTGCAATTGCAATATGATATGATGGATTACCAAAGTCAATGGATGAGCCAACCGCTGCCTTATCAAATCACTTTCATATTTTCGATCTCCTTGCAATCCAGAAAGTCGTCTGCAACCTAACCAGAAATATTGCACACAGAATTCTAAAATGTTCATAATTTCATGTAAAGCAGATATTTTGTGCATGTAATACGCCTGCCAAAAAAGGCAGGATACAAAAATGGCAGAATCAGTTGTATGCTTTGTGATCGATAAGTTAATTTCACTGCTCATCACCACAGAATCACATGAATGATGGGTCCACTGAACACCCATCTTTAGGATCAAGCTTATTTAGATCTTAACTTATGAAGCAATTGTTGAAGAAATGCGTGTAAAAATAAATCCACATATTGAATTGGGTTTATGGAGGTATATTATGTATTAAATTTGGGTTTAAAGAGATATTAATAGTTTAGTTAAAAATCAAATGGGTGCAAAAAATAAATTAAGTGTAGAAATAAGTTATATGAGTTTAAATAAAATTTTCCTTTTGTAAACATGTCATTAGTTTAGAACATGGTTTTAATTTTATTAAAACAAAACAGATTTTATTTATTTTTTTGTTGGAGACGAAAAGGCTAATTTAAAACTATAAAACAAATCCGAACGACTCTCTCTCCAATAATTGGAATAAAATAGGAAAAAGTTTCTAGCAAATGATTTCCTCTTCTAAATTACTTCACCCCAAAAAGGTATACAAAAAGTAGTCCAGATCTTTTCTGGATCCTAAAAAACTGAGTCTAATGATTAAATGAATCGGACTGTTAAAATTTGATTTAATGATTACAAATAGGGAATTTTTCTAAAAATTATAATAATTGTAGCCGTTTGATCAAATTTCAACGATCCCGATTATTTGATCTTTAGGCTCAGGTTTTTTTGGATCCGGATTCCAAAACGTACACCCATTCCCAACCAATACCACCCTGCGGCACTGTGCAGCCACTTAAATCACTTCCCTTCTTCCGCATTTGCCACTACACATTTATCCTCTCAATTCCCATTTCGTCCCCACAACTCAATGTTACAGTTTGATGATATTTCTTTTACTTGTAAATAAGAAGTTTTAAGTTTGAATCTCGTATATGGTAAATTCGATACTTTACTACTCAGTACTATAGTCTGATAGTATTTCCCTTTAGTTAGAAGTAAGAAATGTTTCGAATTTCGATACTAAATTAAGTTTTTAGCAGAACTCTCTCTCTCAATAGTGTAAAATATATCGCTTACTCATTAAATTCCCATTCCGTTCCCCGAGTGTCATCAAAATCCGATCTTTCTGTGTACACCATACAAACGACTCTCTCTCTCTTTCTCACTCCTCCCTCTGTCTCTGGGACGAGGATTGTTTGCCCTCCTAGTTGTGGTGCCCTTCCATGCCCTCCTATTTTGTGCGGTCACGGTTAAGCCACGTTAATATTTTATATTAATTTTTTAATGAGATAATAAGACAAAAAACAATAAAAATATAAAATATTAACGTTGCTTAACCGTGACCGCATAAAATAAGAGGGTATGGAAGGGCACCACAACTAGAAGGGCAGACAATCCTAGTCCCTGTCTCTGAGCTTCTTGTTCCGAGCTTTCACCATCTTCTTCGGCCTTCGTTATTCGCGCATATACGTTTCTGATTTGAAACGTTTTCCTCGATTTGAAAAGTCGAAAATTTTCGATTTGCGCGTGAAGAAAGCATGCAGTGATAGAATTGCTGTGCTCGAGTGCGGTGTTCGTTGATGGTCATCTAATAAGTTTCTTCATAAAGCTCCAGCGTTCCGAATTCGCCAAGGTAACTCAATTTTCTCGCCATTTGTTTTGCTTGAATGCGTGGATGCGTATATATATATATATATATATATATATATATATATATATATATATATATATATATTTATATGTATATGCAGCCGTGAATCTCTATGGATTTTTTCACTGATCGATTTGTGTTGCCGAGAAAATGAGTTTCGAAATCATGCGTTGCACGTTGCTTGATGATGTAGATTCGCTCGAATTTTATTCGGAGCCTGAGATTGTTGGAGTTGAGCTTGAATTTTCTTTTCTGAGTTTATTTTTTCTGATCAACCAAACAGAGGATTATTGGAAGCTTTTTGAACTTTTTATCTTTCTGTTCAGTTGATTGGTGGAATACTTTTTCTTTGTGTTCTTCCTCATCAGCTTATTTTTTTCTTTTCTGCTAGGAGTGTTGCTATAAATGATTAAATATTAATCATAAATGTTTGTGAGAATTAATTATGTTTTAAATTTATTAATTAATTGTGATATGATGATTTTATTATGTGATAGACGTATAAGCTTGTCTTTGTGTACTGCAAGTTGACAGCCTTTGTTTGTGTGGAGTGTAGACTCGGTCAAATTGGGCGGTTTATGATAATTCAGTGAGCATTAGGATGGCGAAATGTGGAATCAATGCAATTTTCTTCAAAATCTCTAATTACGTTGTTCAAAGGCGTACGCCAACTATTGGTTTCAGTGATTTGTGGTTGAAAGAGGTGAAATCATGTGGCAAATGTTGCACGGTCGATCTTTAGTTGCACATAAAAAAAACCGTTTCTTGACTCATCTGTGTGTGTGTAAATATTGATATGAACTGAAAATGTACAATAAAATAGTGGTGAATCTTGTTTTTAAATTATGTATATAATCGATTGGCCTGAAAATGCGCAATCTCAATCAACATTACTCAGGCTCGGAAAGAATGCTGGCTGTATCAGCAGCTTCTCTGGCAGACAATAACAACTATAATTGTTAGTGGTTTTGCATTTCTTGTTTTTTTCACAATGGAATCTAGTTTGTGGTAGTTTTCACTTCATCTTCTTCTTTTGCTAATGCAAGTGTCTTTTAATTTGTAGTGAGAAATGGTTGCCTTTGGGAAAAAGCTAAAGGAAAGACAAGTTCAAGAATGGAAGGGGTATGCTTGATTGATCTCACTTATTCAACTATGCATCATCAATAGTTGGTACATTGTGGCTGAGATTTTGAACCTTTTCTCTTGTAGAAGGGTAATAGAATAAAAGAACGGGTCTGAAGATGACATTCTTTGATGACAAACATGTTGTGTTTAACCCTGAATCTTATTGGGAAATTATGTGGTGGTGTTAAATTATTGTTGATACATGATATGCCTGCAATCTATGCATGATATTAAACATGCATCTGTGCAGTTGGTAACTATACATATCATGTCAATGCCGTTGATAAAATTTCCTTAGTTCTACTAATCTACTTCAATATTTTTATTGCAATGTTTGCATGCTCACAAGCCCGGATAAAGGAGGAGGGGGAGGGCGTCAGGTAGTCGACAGCCGGCACTCCATGATCACGTCGAATCCTTATGAAAATGAATCCAGAACAAAATCGCGCTAAAGCTAGGGCGTCACCCGTAAGTGGCGCGCTGTGTGGCCCGAGCACAGTGATAAGTGAGCAAGGGTCGCTGTATCTCCATCGGCATCCGAATGCAGTGTTAAATGAGCAAGGGGGCCATAGAAACTTCTTTTCGAACGACTCCACTCAAAGTTGTTTGGGAGCATATGCTCCTATCAACTTTACCCGGGACACACAAAAGAAGTACTTTGATCCTATTAGACGGGGGAGGGTGAAGAAGCTAGGACAGAAGGGTAGAGTTCAAGAGAGCAAAATGCGTTTAGGAACGTGGAATATATAGGAACCTTAACGGGAAAATCTATGGAAGTAGTGGAAGTTATGGTGAGGAGAAGGATAAATATATTATGCCTACAAGAAACTAAGTGGGTTGGTAGTAAGGCAAAGGATCTAGAAAACTCAGGGTTTAAACTTTGGTATTCGGGCACAAATAGAACGAGAAAACGGTGTTGGCATCATCGTGGACAAGACCTTGGTACAAGATGTTGTAGATGTCAAGAGGGTAGGAGATAGAATCATCATGGCAATCAAGATTGTAATAGGACAAGAACTTCTCAATGTGATTAGTGCGTACGCACCTCAAGTAGGGTTGGATACGAGTTCGAAGGAGAAATTTTGGGAAGATCTTGGAGACTTGGTGCAAGGAATTGCTCAGACGGAGAAGTTATTTATAGGAGGAGATTTAAATGGACACGTGGGCAGGGAGACAGGCAACTATGGAGGTTTTCATGGTGGCCATGGTTTTGGGGAGAGAAACGAGGATGGGGAAGCTATCTTGGATTTTGCAATGACATATGATCTCTTCTTAGCCAACACCTTCTTTAAGAAGAGAGAAGAACATGTGATCACCTACAAGAGTGGGTCGTCAAAAACACAAATAGATTTTCTCCTAATGAGGAAAGGGGATCGTATAACTTGTAAGGATTGCAAAGTTATACCAGGAGAGAGCGTGGCTAATCAACATCGCTTGTTGGTGATGGATGTACATATCAAAAGAGTAAGACAAAAGAACAAGACTTGGAAGTGCCCAAGGACTAGATGGTGGAATCTAAAAGAAGAAAAACAAGCCATTTTCAAAGAAAAGGTAATCACCCAATGTGTGTGGGATAGAGAGGGGGAAGCTAGCCAAATGTGGGATTCCATGGCTAGTTGTATCCGAAAAGTAGCAAAAGAGGTATTAGGAGAGTCCAAGGGTTTTGCCCCACACCAAAAGGAATCTTGGTGGTGGAATGAGGAGGTACAAACAAAGGTGAAGGCTAAGAAGGAATGTTGTAAAGCCTTATACAAGGAGAGGACCGATGAAAATGGTGAAAGGTATAGAAAAGCGAAGCAAGAGGCAAAGAAAGCTGTCAGAGAAGCTAAGTTAGCGGCTTACGACGATATGTATAAACGACTAGATACCAAAGAAGGAGAGTTGGATATCTATAAACTATCTAGAGCAAGGGAAAAGAAGACAAGGGACCTAAACCAAGTGAGGTGCATCAAGGATGAGGATGGAAAGGTTCTTGCTACAGAGAACGCAGTTAAAGACAGATGGATAGGTTATTTTCATAATCTTTTCAATGAAGGACATGAAATGAGTGCTTCTTTAGGGGAGTTGAGTAACTCAGAAGAGTGTAGAAACTACTCTTTTTATCGTCGAATCCGGAAGGAAGAAGTGGTTGTAGCTTTGAAGAAGATGAAGCATAAAAAAGCAATAGGCCCAGACGATATACCAATCGAAGTGTGGAAACTTTTGGGAGAGACAGGTATAACATGGCTCACTGACCTTTTCAATAGGATTTTGAAAACGAAGAAGATGCCAAATGAGTGGCGAACAAGCACTTTGGTGCCTATCTACAAGAATAAGGGCGACGTACAAAATTGCATGAACTATAGGGGTATTAAGCTAATGAGTCATACAATGAAGCTCTGGGAGAGAGTCATTGAGCATAGATTGAGGCAAGAGACGCGGGTTTCGGACAACCAATTCAGGTTCATGCCAGGGCGCTCAACCATGGAGGCAATCTATCTCTTACGAAGATTGATGGAAAGATATAGAGATGGGAAAAAGGATTTACACATGGTCTTTATAGATTTGGAAAAAGCGTATGATAGGGTCCCAAGAGACATTCTTTGGAGGATTTTAGAGAAGAAAGGAGTACGAGTAGCATATATCCAAGCTATAAAGGATATGTATGAAGGAGCAAAGACTGCCGTAAGAACTCATGAAGGACAAACCGAAAGCTTTCCCATATCTGTAGGATTACATCAAGGCTCATCCTTAAGTCCTTACCTTTTTGCGTTGGTAATGGATGAGTTAACAGGACATATTCAAGACGATATTCCTTGGTGTATGCTTTTCGCAGACGATATAGTGTTGATAGATGAAACTCAGGAAGGGGTAAATGCAAAGCTTAACCTTTGGAGAGAAGTGTTGGAATCTAAAGGTCTTCGCCTAAGCCGATCAAAGACAGAATATATGGAGTGCAAGTTCAGTGCAAATGGAGGCCAAAACGAGTTAGGGGTGAGGATCGGCGATCAAGAAATACCAAAGAGCGACCGTTTTCGTTACCTAGGATCTATCTTGCAAAAGAACGGAGAATTAGATGGAGATCTCAACCATAGAATACAAGCTGGATGGATGAAGTGGAAGAGTGCATCCGGCGTGTTGTGTGACCGCCGTATGCCACTGAGGCTCAAGGGAAAATTTTATAGGACGGCAATAAGGCCGGCGATGCTGTATGGCACAGAATGTTGGGCGGTGAAACATCAACACGTACACAAAATGGGTGTAGCGGAGATGAGGATGCTTCGTTGGATGTGTGGGCACACGAGAAAGGATAAGATTAGGAATGAGGATATCCGGGGTAAAGTAGGAGTAGCCGAAATTGAAGGAAAGATGAGAGAAAATCGGTTACGGTGGTTTGGACATGTGCAAAGAAGGCCTACTGACGCTCCGATTAGAAGATGCGACTATGGGACAGAGGTTCAGGGCCGAAGGGGTAGAGGAAGACCTAGGAAAACTTTGGAAGAGACTCTAAGAAAAGACCTAGAGTACTTGGATCTAACGAAGGACATGACACAGGATCGAGCACAATGGCGTTCTAAGATTCATATAGCCGATCCCACTCAGTGACTCGGATTTTCCAAGTCTCCAACCGAGAAGTTTTCCTCACTCGGGAAATTAAGGGAACACTACCCCAACCTACATGCTCCACTCTGAAAGCTTCAACATACAAGCTTCAACAAAAGAAAAATTCAAAGAACTTAGCGAAGAAGGCTTTGGTGTATTTAACACAATACGTTGAAATGAAGGAAAACTTATTTATTGATATCCCCGATAAGCTACAAATATGTACATATACATGAGTCAAATAAACACACAAGAGGGAGCCTTCACAAAGGTTGCTTAGGAGAAGTCTCAGCAGTCGGTAGAGCCCCAGAAAGAGAAGGCACCGGAGGGGGATCATTTGGAGCCTCAGTACTGGACAGAACCCTAGAAGGAGGAGGCATCAGAGGTTGATCATTTTGGAGCTTCATTACGCGGTTCAGCCCCAGAAGACGAAGGCAATAAATGCCTTTGGAACAAACCCACAAATCTCTGATGATCAAGTAAAACCTGACCATCAGTTTCCTTCATCTGGTCAAGCTTCCTCTTCATGTTTGTAGCATAGTCATGTGCGAGCCGGTGCAACTGTTTATTCTCATGCTTGAGCCCTCTAATCTCATGTTTGAGACTCATAACTTCAGCCGCCAATGATTCAACTTGGCGGGTTCGAGCAAATAGGCGTTGGGCCATATTAGACACAGAACCTGCACACTGAACACTGAGAGCCAGCGAATCCTTAACAGCTAACTCATCAGACCGTTTGGAAAGTAGTCTGTTATCTTTGGGAGTGAGAAGGTTCCTGGCCACCACCGCAGCGGTCATATCATTCTTCATCACGGAATCCCCAACGGTAAGAGGACCAGTAGGGGAGACGAAGGATGGGCGCCATATGTTGTCTGGAGAAGGCGGGGTTGCCTCTTCAACAAGGTTCAAGTCAAAACGACGGTCGGAGGGGCCAGACATTTTCAAAGGTGTTGAAGAGAGAAGAGGTCGGACAAATCAAGATCTTAGAAGTGCAAGAATGAAGCTTCTACTGGTGGAGATTCAAGTGTGCTTTGGAACTTAATGCCAGCCCCTATAAAAATCTGCACTCGACGGAGCTTCAGAAATCGAAGAGGCGCCTGCTCAGAAATCGAAGAGGCGTTTGCTTTCTCAAAAGCTGGGCTGCTTAGAGATCACGAGGGTTGATCTCAGAAATCGAAGAGGCGTTTGCTTTCTCAAAAGTTGGGCTGCTCAAAGACCACGAAGGCCGATCTCAGAAATCGAAGAGGCGCTCGCTTTCTCAAAAGCTGGGCTCCCCAGAGACCACGAGGGCCGATCTCAGAAATCGAAGAGGCACCTACTTTTCCAGCCTTGTCAGCACCTGTCACACGCACACTCAGCTTTGCGGAAATTATGGGCATTCTGTCGAAGACTTCTGGGGAAGTAGAAAACACATGAATCTTACTGTTCAATCACCCATTTCCCACACGCAACAATCGCTCATGGGTACCACAGATAACTTTGCCAAAGTTCTCTGCCAAAGTTGAGCACGTGAAGCTTGCAGCTCCCACTACATCGCTCTGATCAAGAAGGGTAAAAGAATAGCAAAGAAACAGCACTAACAAAGTTTAGACCCATAAATTTCAAGGTCTAGCTACCATATTATTACCCACAAGGGTAAAGGAACAGTACCACTGCTGGATAATTGGAAAGTCCCTGTGTGTCAACCTCTGTGCTTCGTGGCAAGGTAGACTAGCAAACATGCCCAACCTTTACTCACATTTCGAGAAAACACTCCCAATAAGATTGCTTGCTCCAAAAATCGAAGAGGCACCGTCCTCCGAATCTCGGGAGCCAGACTCCCAACATGACTACTTTCTTAAAAATCGAAGAGAGGGTAAAGGAACAGTACCATTGCTGGATAATTGGAAAGTCCCTGTGTGTCAACCTCTGTGCTTCGTGGCAAGGTAGACTAGCAAACATGCCCAACCTTTACTCACATTCGAGAAAACACTCCCAACAAGATTGCTTGCTCCAAAATCAAAGAGGCACGCCAGACCCCCAACATGATTGCTTTCTCAAAATCGATGAGGCATCGTTCTCCGAATCAATCGAATAGGCGCTCGCTTTCTCAAAAGCTGGGCTACTCAGAGACCAAGAGGGCCGATCTCAGAAATCGAAGAGGCACCTACTTTTCTAGCCTTGTCAGCACCTGTCACACGCACACTCAGCTTTGCAGAAATTATGGGCATTCTGTCGAAGACTTCTGGTGAAGTAGAAAGCACATGAATCTTTCTGTTCAATCACCCACTTCCCACACGCAACAATAGCTCATGGGTACCACAGATAACTTTGCCAAAGTTCTCTGCCAAAGTTGAGCACGTGAAGCTTGCAGCTCCCACTACATCGCTCTGACCAAGAAAGGTAAAAGAATAGCAAAGAAACAGCACTAACAAAAGTTTAGACACATAAATTTTGAAGGTCTAGCTACCATATTATTACCCACAAGGGTAAAGGAACAGTACCACTGCTGGATAATTGGAAAGTCCCTGTGTGTCAACCTCTGTGCTTCGTGGCAAGGTAGACTAGCAAACATGCCCAACCTTTACTCACATTCGAGAAAAACACTCCCAACAAGATTGCTTGCTCCAAAAATCGAAGAGGCACCGTCCTCCGAATCTCGAGAGCCAGACTCCCAACATGACTACTTTCTCAAAATCGAAGAGAGGGTAAAGGAACAGTACCATTGCTGGATAATTGGAAAGTCCCTGTGTGTCAACCTTTGTGCTTCGTGGCAAGGTAGACTAGCAAACATACCCAACCTTTACTCACATTCGAGACAACACTCCCAACAAGATTGCTTGCTCCAAAATCGAAGAGGCACCGCCCTCCGAATCTCGAGAGCCAGACTCCCAACATGATTACTTCCTCAAAAATCGAAAAGACACTGCTCTCCGAATCTCGAGAGTCAGACCCCCAGCATGATTGCTTTCTCAAAAATCGAAGAGGCATCGTTCTCCGAATCTCGAGAGCCAGATACCACAGACCACCTTTTCAAAGTGCTCTGACAGAGTTAAAACATGTGAAACTGGCAGCTCCCACTACCGTGCTATGACCAAGCAGGGTAAAGGAATAGCATTACTACTTGTTGTTAGGGAGACTCCTATATATGTCGACCTCCATCCCCAACGGACAGGCAGACCTGCAAAAATGCTCAACCCTTCATCATATCTAAGAGGGCACTCCCAACGAAGCCTTTCGAAATATTCAGCTTTCTTTCCCCCCGATAATACCTCTGCAAACAAGCTATACTAGAGCAAGAATATCTCATATCATCAGGGTTAAAAAGCAAGAGTATCCCATATCATGCTTTTTCCCTGTCTTTTCTTTTGGCCTTGTTTTTACCTGCAAGACAAGGAGAAAGAGAGCAATCAGTCAGCACTTGGAATCAAGCTTCCAGCCAGGAACTGACTGCCTGGAACCCCTTACCTGATTACTTACCTGGCATTGCTCTCGAGTACTCATCTTCAACATCTTATGTTTCCAGGGAAGATTCCGCATCTGCTTGAGGAACAGATAGGGCAAGTGCGAAGGATACAAGGAAGCATGTGGAGACAAGCGTAACAGCACACGTGCCGATACATCCATTACTCTGTCAAAAGCAAAAGTATCCCATATCAGCAGGGTGGAACGTACTCTAGATTTTTGATGGACTTGTTTTGACCCTCAAATTCTTCAGTCGGCCTTAATACTCTGGAGGAAACCAGAAAACCCTCCAGCCCAGTTCAAGAATAAGCCTGTGGAAAGTTACTTCTTCAAAAGCAAAAGTATCTCATATCATCTCTTCTCATTTTTCTTCTCTTTATCCTTCATGCTGCTGCAAGATGGGGAGAAGGTGAACAATCAGTCGGAGCTCTGATTGCTTACCTTGTCTGTCACCTCTTTCAGCAGACCCCCTAACTCGGCGACTTGGGGACTCCTACTACATGGTTTGTATCGCGCTTGACCAAGCCTGAAACTACAAGTAAGCTTCAAGTGAAATTGATACATTACCTTGTGCATATCCACCAGTTAAAGATACCACCCCTGGATGGAGGAAGAGTACTTCCAGAGAAGATGCCACATCGACAGATAAGGCAAGTCAAGACGACACCACACTCCGATACTTAGAAGTTTCGTGATTACGAGATCATTCTCCCACAATATTTCATAATGTCATTTGTACTAAATCATTCACTTGTACTCACTAAAGGAGAGCTTGAACCTATGTACTTGTGTAAACCCTTCACAATTAATGAGAACTCTTCTATTCCGTGGACGTAGCCAATCTGGGTGAACCACGTACATCTTGTGTTTGCTTTCCTATCTCTATCCATTTATATACTTATCCACACTAATGACCGGAGCAATCTAGCGAAGATCACAAAAAGCGACCGTTTTCGCTACCAAGGATCTATCTTGCAAGAGAACGGAGAATTAGATGGAGATCTCAACCATAGAATACGAGCTGGATGGAAAGAGTGCATCCGGCGTGTTGTGTGACCGTCGTAGGCCACTGAAGCTCAAGGGAAAATTTTATAGGACGACAATAAGGCCAGCGATGTTGTATGGCACAGAATGGTGGGTGGTGAAGCATCAACACGTACACAAAATTGGTGTAGCGGAGATGAGGATGCTTCGTGGGAGGTGTGGGCACACGAGAAAGGATAAGATTGGGAATGAGGATATCCGAGGTAAAGTAGGAGTAGCCGAAATTGTAGGAAAGATGAGAGAAAATCGGCTCCGGTGATTTGGACATGTGCAAAGAAGGCCGACTGACGCTCCGGGTCGAAGATGTGACTACGGGACAGAGGTCCAGGGCCGAAGAGGTAGAGGAAGACCTAGGAAAACTTTGGAAGAGACTCTAAGAAAAGACTTAGAGTACTTGGATCTAACGGAGAACATGACACAAAACCGAGCGCAATGGCGTTCTAGGATTCATATAGCCGACCCCACTTAGTGGGAAAAGGCTTTGTTGTTGTTGTTGTTGTTTGCATGCTCACACCTTGTTTTCATTCAGGTATTACATCAATTATAAACTTATGAAGAAAAAAGTAAGACACTATTCTCAACAAATTAAAGTTGGAGCAATAGACCGGAGGCATGTCCTAAAGGACTTTTCAAGGATGCTGGATAATCAGGTATGCAGTTCATCCATGCTCGTTCACGAATACCATAGGAGAATTTTTATGAGAAACTTGTGAACCTTAGCATAGATGCATTTTCCAAGATGTCAAGGAACTGTTAACTTTTGGGCAGTTTGTAGGAAAGTCTGATTAATTCATTTATTAAAGATAAATATGTTTAGTTCTTTCACTTTTCCCTTTAGTATTCTCTTTGGGGAAGGTGTGGGAAAATCTATTTTTAGCCTCCTGGAGGCATATCATAAGTGAATTGAGATAAAGTTGCTGTGGCTTGTGCGTATATACTTTTCAACCTATATATTTATGCACTCAAGAACTCAAATTCCCACTTATATTAAATGTCTGCATCACTTTTCTTTTGTATAGTAATATTTGTGTGTATCGTCCACCTGCATATTCTATATGCTTTCACATATACCGATGCCCCTTCATTTGGGTGTGTGTATACATATATATACCTACATAAGTGTAAGTAGTATGTATCACCAGGAAGATCGTAGCATATTATGGTTCTTTTGAGTCTTTATTCCGGTTTATCTGACTTTTGCTGTTATTCATGACTCATGAGTGGTGGATAATGCATGTATTTCCCTTCTTGTTTTTTATTTCAATATCAGATTGAGACTATTGTCCTTTTCCTGTTGGAACAACAAGGACTACTTGCAAGCAGGATAGCCAAACTTGGAGAACAACATGATGCTCTTCTGCAGCAACCTGATATATCCAAAATATTTGAACTACGAGAAGCTTATAGACAAGTGGGCCGTGATCTTCTGAAGCTTCTCTTTTTTGTTGAGGTGAATGCCATTGGTCTGCGTAAGATATTGAAGAAGTTCGATAAACGCTTTGGATATAGATTCACCGACTACTATGTCAAAACTCGTGCGAATCATCCTTACTCACAGCTCCAGCAAGTGTTTAAGCATGTGGTAATATGTTTGATCAGAGGCCCTTCCACCCTTTGTCCCTTCAAACATTTAGAACATTTCCATTGTTGTATATTATTAGGTGCTGTTCTAAAATATTGGGGCAAGCATGACAGAAAACATAAAGTAGCCGTTACATAACTTGGCATATTATTAGAAACTGCAAACTCATAATTTCAATGTAAATGACCTATCTTGGACAAATAATCTTCCAGGGCATAGGGGCTGTTGTAGGAGCTGTATCTCGCAATCTTCATGAACTTCAGGACCGACAAGGAAGCTACTTATCAATATATGATCAGCCTGCTCTTCCCCTCCAGGTTTCTTTCGTAATTTGATGCCTTAATTTTCATTGTTTCTGTATTTTCTTCCATAAACTGTGATGTTACTCTTCAAGCTGGAAGCATTCAAAAATGTTGGTTGTATATAATAATGCTTACTAGGGTTCATGTGCAGGATCCTGTTATTGATTCAGTAAAAGCAGCTGTGGACAGGTTAACCAATTCAACAAACTTTCTGAACTTTTTGGGGCAACATGCACTTATTCTGCAAGAAGATATGCTGCCTGAACAAGTTGATGATCAGAGATACCACTTTATGTCACTTGTCTTGAACTTAGTGAACACGTTCCTTTACATGGTCAATACATATATTATTGTTCCTACAGCAGATGACTACTCCATGAGCCTTGGTGCTGCAGCGACAGTTTGTGGTGTTGTGATTGGAGCAATGGCTGTTGCACAGGTGTTTTCTTCAGTGTATTTTAGTGCATGGTCAAATCGGTCATACTTCAAGCCTCTTGTATTTAGCAGTATTGTTCTTTTTGTGGGAAACACCCTGTATGCTCTGGCTTATGATCTTAATTCGATATGGGTACTGTTGATTGGTCGTCTTTTCTGTGGGTAAATAATTCTTGTACTTGTTCCTCTGATTCTTCTTTTGGATATTGCAATAATATTTTGTTGAAAGTAGTGGTTTAGGGAGTTTTGGAATTTCTTGGCTTTGATTAAAACCTATAGAGCTATACTTGCAACTCTACTGGTTTCCAAATGTAGAAATGAACACTAGCTGCCTCAGTAACAAATGACAATTGTACTATACTGTGCTTTATAACATTTGAGTACTGTAGGTCTGCTCTTGACACACAGGCTTTGGTTCTTTAACTTTTCTCCTCTGGCTTCTCGGAAACTTGGACGAATATTGATGTCTTTCATCAAATCAATTGATAAATTTGTGCTATTTTGTTTCAGGCTGGGTTCTGCAAGAGCTGTTAACAGGCGTTATATTAGTGATTGTGTACCTCTGAAAATCCGCATGCAGGCGTCAGCAGCTTTTGTTAGTGCTAGTGCCCTTGGAATGGCATGTGGTCCTGCTCTTGCTGGCTTACTTCAAACTCATTTCAAGATTTACAAGCTTACATTCAATCAAGACACTTTGCCTGGTTGGGTTATGGCTATAGCCTGGCTTCTATACTTAATATGGCTGTGGATCTCATTTAGAGAACCTGCTCGTGAAGATGAAGTGAGTTCTGTACAAGAAGGATCCAATAGCAGTATGTTGACTCATATCAGTAGTTAGTTTATCTTTTAAACATATTCTGTTTTGTGTCCTTATAAATCTTAAGCTTCTAATGACGCAATATATTTGATCTAATTTGACCCCGAAAATCTCAATTTATTGCTGTGTAATTACATCCTTAAACGCATCATCAGTTGTCAGTCATGTGCTCAAATTAAAACCAAACTACCTCTTTGACATTCCTGATTTCAACAAGCCTGACATGTTGAGACCAAAGAAAAAAAATGAATGTGACATGTTGGTTAAGCTTGGTATCAACGTGGTCTTTGGCATTGAAGCAGACATGCATAATGTCTGCCTATGAGCGGATCATTAACCATTAATGGGTATAGATCTCACTTGATAAGTGGGCAGTTCTTTGAACTCAAGTTTGTTTATTTCAGTATACAAATCAATGGTGTCTAATGAGACATTGATAATAATTCTACCGTAAATTAAGAGTAGGGTTGAGCCGTTTTTTGCATATGTCCAATGCAAAGTATGTAGTTGCAGTTCTAGGAGCTAACAGTTATTTATCCTGCAATTGACAGGAACAGCAGTAAACGATGCACTCGAGAAAGGTCTTAATCAACCATTGCTCATTAGTGCTGAAGACAAGAGAGAAGATGAAGATGGTGACCAAGATATTGATGAAAGTGAAGAAGCTCCTGAGGAATCTCGTCGACCAGCCACTTCAATTCGATCCGCATATCAACTACTTACACCCTCTGTAAAGGTATTTCACTGATTTTGAATTACATATATGTTTTCACATCTCATTTATTCCATTAATTGTGCCTTTAATGTCCATGTTAACATTATTTTTCCTTTTCTTTGGTGCTAAATCTTTTAAATGCTTTATCTCCACTCCTTCTGCATTGCATTAGTAAATTGACTGCCATTACTTTCCATTTGGACTTAATTGCATTAGTAAATTGACCGCCATTACTTTCCATTTGGATTTAAACCCGTTCAACTTCTTTATGGTTTCATCAGGTTCAATTGTTGATATATTTCATGCTCAAGTATGCTATGGAGATTTTACTTTCAGAATCTAGTGTTGTTACGACATACTACTTTAGCTGGAATACTAGCAAAGTCGCAATTTTTCTGGCGTGTCTTGGATTAACCGTTCTTCCAGTAAATATTCTTGTTGGGAGCTACATTAGCAACATGTTTGAAGACAGGTAATTTTTAACAGCTCTCATTACATACAGTGCTTTGTATAGGGCCCGGTGAAAATTCAACATTTATATTTTCCTTGCTAACTGCTGGATTTGTTCTTGCTGTCGTAATTGCAGGCTAATTTTATTAGTATCTGAAATAGTGGTTTGCATAGGCATAGTTATGAGCTTCCATATGTTCAATCCGTACTCTGTGATACAATACGTCAGCTCAGGGCTCATCATGTTTGTTTCGGCTGAAGTACTTGAAGGTGAGATATTTTTATTCAATCCCTTACAGAAAACAGAGATGTTACTCAGCGAGCTCTTAGGAATTGAAGTATATGTCAGTTTGTTATGTAGCAGGAGACGCACGAACAATTTCTCTCTCTCTCTCTCTCTCTCTCTCTCTCTCTCTCTCTAAAACATATCTTCAACCGCCATTTATGCAGGTGTCAACTTGTCACTTCTCTCGAGGGTTATGTCATCGAGGCTTTCCCGTGGAACATACAATGGTGGATTACTTTCAACAGAAGCTGGGACACTCGCTCGAGTAGTTGCAGATGCCACCATAACTCTGGCCGGATACTTGGGAGAAAGTAGGCTCTTGAACATCACCTTGCTTCCGTCCCTCGTGATTTGCGTTTCTTCCATTATTGCCACCTGCTACACATACAACTCTCTCTATTGATTTATCTCTAAATCTATTGGATCAGAAGAATGCCCGTCGCTTCCCAATACAACTCCTCCTCAATTCTTTTCCAATGAATCACTGCTATTTTGTGATAGAAACTCTAATTAAAAAATGTCGGTGTAGATAATCTACCAACCTAATATAGTTAGTCCTCCTTGGGGATGGGCAAATACTCGCAGTTATTGGTAACTGTGGTTACCGGCTTATTTAAATTCATGGTTACAATTATGGGTAATCGTTTAGATAGATAAACGGTTTTTGGTATAACTTTTATATGTGAAATTTAAATGGGTAGTTATATATATTAACTGCGGTCATAATTGATATCCGTTTATTTTATTATATATATATATATATACACATATATAATAAAATGAAATAAAAACAAAAAACTAAGTTGGTGCATATATCATTATTTGTTCAAAAATTTGGTATAATCATTGTCCATGGATTGGTCAGTGCATTGGGATTTGTATGTTTTTAACTTGTCAGGGTAAAACAGTACCTTTCCCTGTTTATGCCACCTGTGATGAGAAATTGGTATATTGTTAACTCTTCTGAACTTGATTGGCTTACTATAGTGAATATAATTTATCAAAGACCAGAGCCATGACCTATAATGAATTGGGTATTTAACTGCAATATTGTACCTGTGTAGTTGAGCTATTTTAATGTTTATCGTACCTATAACGGTGTTTAATTATCAGTAAAAAACATTATGAGAAATTTTTCTTTTTAAATTTTCAAGTTGTTAAAAAACATGAAAACGAGTGAAAAGAAGGATAAATGGTATAAAAAGGGGTAAAGGGTAAATGGGTAAACAGGTAAACAATTATGGTTAAATAGGTATGTGATTATGGATATGGTTAACCATTTATAAACGGTTATGGATATGAGTATAACCGTTTAGGCAATTATCCAATGGATAAATGGTTACAGGAGTATGAGCATAAACAGTTATGGGTAAATAAATGCAGTTACTCGCTCGTTATAACTGTTGCTCATCCCTAGTCCTCCCTAAGAAAAGGGTTTTGGATAATTAAACCATAGGGTCCATAAAGGTGGGCAAAGGGAAAATTCTAAAAACATTAGTAAGGGGTAGAATCCACAACTCTCGCTAGACCTTCCAAAGTTAGGTACTCACGACAGAATAACAAGACATGAGCATGCATTATTGAGTCTGATTCTGTTGACCCCAAAAACTATTTAGCCTATGTGGCACGCATGCCGAATAGCAAATGAGCTAACTAGGTCATTCAGTTGAATGCGGGGCATGCCAACTCAACGACCGAGTTCGGTCGATGAGTGAATGAATGTGATGGTGTTGGTTTCGAACACCCTGTTGACTTTTGTATCTTGCGATTGCGGTCAAGGAAAGAACTCGCCTCGGTTTCTGGGTTCTAGAGCCTAATGATAAGGTTATTGGTTACTTTGAAGTTGACAAATCGCCTGCATCGGGCTCGGCTGCTTCAATTATATTTGTGCAAATATAAGTGCGTCGAATTGGTACTAGATTGTACGAACGAAATTATAACTTGGCATCCGACTTTATTTGACTTCAGGCCAAGTGACAATAAAATTATAGCTTAATAAGCATTAACCAAATACGTCCCAAAAATTATATGGGTATGGTTAGGAAGTGGGGATGCCAAAATATGGCATTGGGTCGAAAAAAGATGCAGCCCAACTCGGTTAGGCTGGCTGTAGTACATGGGTAGGCCTTGCAGTTTAGCTGCAGGCCTTTTTTTGGGCATAAGGAAGGGCTATAGGCCTTGGGCCGTGGTTCTAGGATGAGTCTAGTAAGAGAGGTTGTTGGAATTGGGCCAAAAGGCGTGTGGATAGCAAGCCCAGCTTATGCTGGCTTGGGTTGGTGCACGACAAAGACCAGCTAAAAGATAGCTTTTAGTTTTGGGCCACGGCATGGCAAGCCCAACAACAAAGGGGGTTGTTGCAGGCAGGCTGATACGTAGGGGCAAGCCCAGCAAGCAGCAGGCTTGCTGGTTTGGGCAAGGGGCATAAGTATAGATCCCAGCATGCAACTGCAGGCTATATTAGAGGTGGGTTGGGGTTGCAGGCCCAACGAAAAAACCTTCTCATGCCAGAGGCCTGGTCAATCTTGCACACAGCAAGGCTAAATGGCTGCTGCCTTGGTCCAAACGTCAAACGACGTTGTCCAAATGGCTGCTCAACGTATAACCCAACTAGCGTGGCTCTGCGCGGCTAGGAGCTACGGCTCATGCTACAAAAATCTCAATTGTTTTTTCAACATCTAGGGTTTGAAAACCCTAATTGCTTCTAAATTATTTCGATGATTTGACTCACAAATTCCACATAGCATAATTATGTATTGCATGAACTTATTTCGATGATTTGAAAACCCTATATATATATATATATATATATATATATATATATATATATATATATATATATATATATATATATATATATATATATCGGAAGGAAATATAAATATAGGGGGTTCATGTATCATGGGGAATGTTTTCATGCTTCATGGTTGTTTCAAATATCTGAATTTATTTTTAAAGAATTTGATTGGCAGAAAGAAACTAAGCCTTTGATTTTATAGAAGAGCCTCCTCCACGAACCTTTAGTTCCTTAACTTTTGGCAAGAGCGTGCTGATAACATGTTGTAAGCCTAATTTGCTGAACAATATAAAGGACAAAGAGAAGGGGGTGCGGCACAAAGAAAGAGATGTGTATTTGTGAGGTGTGTGTTATGCCACCCCATTGTGCCTTTATTTATAGTAGTAAGGAAGGTAAATTCCTTACCCCATAGGATTACAACTCTAATAGGATAATAGTCTAAGAGATATGGTAGAACCCTATAGGGATATCCTAGATATGTTAGGATTTACACAATCACATTCCTAATCTAATAAAACAGCAACAAAAACAAGAAAATAACAAAAAAATTGGTTGTTTTAGGCCCATACGAGCAAGAGAAACAATTTGGTTAAGTATTTTTTAGGCCTACAAGTATTGATGGCCTTTATAGAAGTTTATTTTTTATTTTTTATTAATGTCACTCAAGTGTTTGGACTGGCGACCACTTGAGTGACGTTGACTTGTTGATAAATTGGAATTTTTGTTTTTTGTTGTTGTTGTAGTTAGGATATAGGAATCTCGTTTGTTTACTGACGGGGTCCGACTCCTAACATCTGTCTTTTGGAATGAAATTTGTTTACATAAGGGTCTGTCCGCCTAACAGAATTTGTCAACTTGAATCTATCTGTCATTCGCCATTTGAATCTATATCCATCTGCCATCTGCCTGCCCACTTACCTGTTTGTCTACTTGTTGGAGCCTGCTTGCCGATCTGCTCACGTAGCAAAGCATGCATGTTTGTTTTCTGTCCGAGTAGTGGAGCCTACCTATTTGTTTGTCTGTCCGTGTAGCAAAGCCCACCTACATGTCTATCTGTCCTTGTAACAGAGCCTACCTGGCTGTCTGACTAACGAAGTTTGCATCCATATCAGCTTGTTGGAAAACTTATGTTTTTTTACAGCCATGAGTTTAATGGGGGATGTTGGAAAATAATAAGTTCAGGATTTTGGCCTACCTCTTTAGAACTAGGTTTTTGTTTAGAGATTAAAGTTTAGTTTATTATAAATATGATGCATGGTATTCACATGTGAACAATTAAGTCAATATGTAGCCTCTTCGGTTCATGTAGCCATCTTGGCAATTCCAGTTAATGAAATTTTTTATTTGGTTAGTTCGCTTGTTTGTTGCGTACTTTGCTGTTCAGCTTACGCAATCAAGCCCTAAACTCCCTTTTTTTATTTTTATTTTTTACGAGAAACTGACTTAAGCATTGGAGATAAAATCTGGAACCATAGACCGTCAGTAATAAGCACAACTATCTACCTTAAATGAAGTTAAAACATTTGCAACTTGATTTCCTTTATATAAATATGTATACACATAAATCACATGTGACGAAGTCATCAGAGATAATTCTTCAATCATGATAAGTGAGACTTAGAGATCTACATGCATTTTTAGGTAGTTTAGATGCATACAAATGTTTTTTTTCCTGGAATTAAAGTGTCATTTCAATTCTTTGGCTAATGTTGCTTTTTATGGTGCTAGCGTAAGATCATTGGGTGAGTCTTGTAAAGATACTTTTCTCATAGTGGATTTGTTTGACTAGCTGTGAGCCTGAGGATGTTTTTCCATATGCTGAAGTTTTACCTCACTAAATCGTTATGTACTGGGATTTAGTTTTTTGCACTTTATTTATTTGGGTAACATGATTGATATATGATAAGTGCAGGAGTTGATCTTAAAAGAGCCTTATTACTTTCCTTTTCCAAATTTTAGCCAATATGGGCACTTAAGGACCTTTTTGGTAATAAATCGACTCTTCAAAGGAGTTCTGACGTAAGGCCAATTGAAAGAGAAAGCTAAGAGACTGAAGATCATTTTGTCCAACTTTCATAATTTTCCATGGACTGATTCATTGTAGTTTTTTAAGTTACATTTTAGTCAGAACTGCGCAACTACGGCAGAATGACATAAGGCCAATTGAAGGAGAAAGCTAAGAGACTGAAGATCGTTGCGGAAGTTGCATTCTCGTTAGAACTGCGCAGTTGTGGGAGAATGACGATTTGAAGCCTTTTTCGATTTTTCCAAATGATGTGAGATATATTCTTAGAAAGATAAGAGATAGAGTTGCAAGTCTACTATTTTTACCAAATTTTGCAGAAGGTTGAACGACCCCAAATTTGGCGTGCAAGTAAGATGACGTGTTTCCCATGCTAAGAAAGATTGTTTCCTAGTTAGTGTCATTAATTATCTAGGAATTTGTTTTGTTTTACGAGAGTTTTTACTAGACCTTTTAGGTTTTTACTGACCTTTTAGGGTTTTTCTAGTATAAAGATAATGCCCTAGGCTTTCTCAAGACACCACCTTATACACAAAATTAGTCCAAAGTGAAGGAGATAAGTTGAGGCACATTTTATCATTCTTTTATGAGTTTTATCTTCTTCTAGGACTTCTTTGTAATATTTATTTTGACTATATGTAACTAAACTATTTTTCTAAGGTTTATGATGAAGCCATGACATGATTATTTTTGAAGTATTTGGTTCATTATTATTCGATTAATGTGATGCTTAATTTTTAATCTTTGTGCGCTATTTATTCTAGTTTCAAATGTTCTTGTGACTGGCCATCATTGTGAACTTGTTGCTAGATACTTAGATAAATCTAAGAGGATGACCAATCAATTAGGTTTATTGGAACAATTATTAAGACGAGTAGAAAAACTAGTGAGGATGACCAATATCAAGCTAGTCCTACTTGGTTGACATAATTATTCTATGCTTAATCTATTTTTGTGTGTTTAATTGTATGCCTAATCAATAGGATATGGTTGTCACGTATTGATACACAGTTGATGCCTGACCACAGATTAATTCATATCTTAGAAAGTACGACCTTCAACATTGGCATGATAATTGGATAGTAGTTGGCTTGAAGAAAAGAAATAGGATTGTTATTGGTAGATTCATGACCTTAGGCTTTCATCATTTTAATTTGTTAAAACTTTCATTCCCTGTTTGTTTTGGGAGTGAGGTGCTTAAAAAAAAAAAGCACCCATGAAAAAAAGCTGTGAGGGTTTTAGGTGTTTGGTAAACTGAAAAAAAAAGCTTATTTTGGAAGCTGCTATGAGAATAAGCTGAAATCAACGGAAAAAGTTGAAGTTGCTATTTGCAGCTTTGGAAAACTGGTTTTTTTTTCAAAGCACACGGAGCTACAATGCTCTTTTAATGAAAATACCCACTATCAGACTGCCTTTTTTTCCAAAAGCACTTTTACAAAAAAAGTTTACCAAACACTCTACTGATTTATTTCACAGCCGCTTATTCTCACAGCACAGCCGTTTATTCTCACAGCAGTTTTTTTTCAAAGCAAAGCAATACCAAACCAGCCATTAGTCTTCCTGATTTTCTTATAAGTTGTAATTTTAATTAAGTTTTATAATCAATCAATCAATCATTTTAAGTTAAGTTTTGCGTAATTAGTTGGTTAAATTAATATTAAAATCAATCCTTATGGGATCAACCTTGTACTTGCCTTAGTTATATTGCCTTTGATCTTGTGCACTTGCGAGTTTAAATTGGTTCGATTTATCTAATTTGTTGATTAATAAGTGCAATGAGCAAATGCAAACAATAATCAGACAACAGGATTTGTGTGATCAATATCCGCTTTCAATCCGGTAGTCTGATTATTATTTGCATTTGCTCATTGCACTAACTAATCACAACCTATTCCGCTACATACTCAATCAACGTGATAAAAAACTAATGTTTTTGAAAGTTGGATTAAGCTTATTCACCCCCTCTTTAGGCTTCGTGTTACAGCCGATTGTGTTTTCAATATCCTTACAAAAAAGACTAGTTTTCTTAGTTTTAAAAGGATGATTGATTTTACAAATTTCTCAAAATTCACCTACTTCTATCTCACTCCAATCACAAAACCTTCTCACCCAGATGATTGGGTTCCCTTTTTTTTTTTTTCTTTTGAGGGAATGAGTTCGTGTTTGATTAGTGATTTTGTGGTATTTTTCTATACTCAATTAGGATATATCTTATGATTGTATCTCTCATCTCCTTACTGCTTATGATAAAAATACGTATAAAAACCAAATAAATTATATGTAGATAACATTTAAAAAAAAATTCTTTATCAATCAGATAATTTAAGTTATTAGAAATTATTCTCTTGCACCAACTTTTGAAATTTCCATTCATGGGTTGGCATGATTTCTTTCAATAGATTTAAAAGAAAAACCTAAAAAAAAAAAATTACAAAAGAAAATCAAGTATACCGTAAGAAAATGACATGGGATATACCTCACTTACCAGGTTTTGCTGCCTCCTAACAAACAAAAAAGAAGGCATCTCTCGATCACCCTTCTTTTTCTTTCTCCCATCTCTCTCCATCTCTCCATCTCCAAAACATGAAAAAAATGGAGAGAAAGAGACGAGAGAGAGAGAGAGAGAGAGAGAGAGAGAGGGGCAAACAGAATCTAGCTAGAACACATTTCAGATAAAAGGAAGCGCAGTACTGCTTGGGAATGCGTAGAAAGAAGGCACACATGAGGATATCCATCGCATATGCTAGATTTTGTTTTCTTATTCGTTTGCCTGAGCCTGAAAATTACAAGAGCATGCTGTATATAAAGCAATTAGCCTCAGCTCGATCGTCACAAGTCAGTGCGGTGGTTTCACCTTAACAATTGAAGAGATCGACGACATGATATGTAGTCATAGATTGTGAAAACATGAGCGAATTAGTTGTAGGGCTTCTCTCCGATGGCAGGAAATATTAATGGTCATGAATCATGGAAGCATGGATTTTTGTGTTCTCTCATGAGTTATGACCTGCCAAAGGAGAGTTGCCCTACGACTGCTTTTGCTTAATTAATGTGTTCATCTGAAGGTACAAAGACGGTGTTCCGTACGAAAGGTATGATCAGAAAACAGAATGTATGCGATTGAATTCTGTGTTTAATTACTTGTTTTCTTTATAGTTCTTTGTTATGCTAGCGTGGTTATTGTAAGTGCATATACACGTGAGTCATATAAATTGGTTAAAAAATTTGGATAGGTGCTTGCTTCAAAAAGGGGTGGCAGGAGCAAGGGACTTGTACTCAGTTTGTTAAGAGTATTCATTTGGAGCCGAAGTCCCGACTTTGATTCTCCTCTCCCTTAATATCATGTGTATAAAATAAAAAAGGGTAGCAGGAAAATTAGGTGGAAGGCCCTAGCTTATTGGGAACTCCTTATGACAACTTAGTTTAAATAAAATAACTTACTCATATATGTTAGTCCACCATGCCTCTCTCCACTAGCTAATTTTGGAAAATTGTGATGACCAGTATAGATATAGACCTAATTAAGGTTCTCAATCTGTTTTTTTTTTATTTTTTTTTATTTTATTTTATTTTTATACACTCAATTTCTACAACAGGAGTTCCGATTATCGCTGTTTCCATCCAAAGCTTAATTAGTTAATTTCTTTAGATTGCTGTGCAATTTGTGAGAAAATATGCAAGGGCTCCGGCTCATACTTCACCGGCAACCTTCAATATATGCATGCATATGCATACTTAAGCAGTACAGATTCAGTTCAAATGTCTGCTATACTTTTTGTGCATTGGTGTATCTCATAGTTGATGGAAAATGCATGGTGCTTTTTACTTGATATGTGTCTGACCATTTGATTGGTGTATTAATTTGTGCAAGATATATAGAAGAACACCATTTCACCAAAAAAATAAATAAATATTTCAGTGAGCCGCCAAAGCTATTTTTAGGCCATAATTCATGCTCTAATTTCAGTTTTGGTGAATGAATGACGTATGATGGTCATTCGAACCTAAATTCGTTATGATGCGTGGTTAGGCCAAAATATGAATTGACGATCCGACCGTTGGATCGTCACCAAACTTTGATGCATTGTAATACGTAATATTTGAGGATTATAGGAACTTACGGATCGAGAATCCGATTTACGGATGTTTTGGAATTAGAGTTGTAAGTTCATGAGATAGAATGTTAACCGTCACTTGGTTTTGGCAATTGACGGAGATCCGACCGTTGGATGGTAATGAAATTTTAGGATGTTGTCCTAGAGGTATATTTTAGATCTCTGGAAGTTTCAGATTGGAAATCTGAGTTGCAAATCTTCCGGATCGAACTACATGGTGACGTGTTTTATATAAGTTATATTCTATCGATATGATTTCTGAGGCATGTCTTGATGATTATTTTAGGCGCCGATCGTCAAGACGCCTTGATGTGTTGTGCTAGGGAGTTGTAAGGCGAACTCCAGGTGAGTGGGCAGTTTTGTTTTCCGTGTATACCTATATAAATGAGATTTTTCCCAGAAAATCAAATTAAGTGAAATGTGATATGAAATGCGTTATGAAATGCCATGCAAAATATATATCTATTTTATTTATGCATTAGTAATTGCATACATGCATGATTGGTGATGCGGACGCACAGGTAAGTACCAGGTAAGTTCATAAATTAAAATTATGATATTGTTGACTTGATGTGATTGAAAGCTCATAAACCTGCACTAGGATGATTATGATTTAGCATAGATGTGATTCAGGCCTGTAAATATATTTAGTCACCCCCGCACCATATGCTCACATTGGATCCAATTTAGGTGCCCAGTCTTGTCGTATAGACCACTCGTAGGTGGTTCCGACTCGTAGGTGATTAGCAATTTATCGCATAGCTATCAAGAGAGGATAGCGTGAGCATAACTATTTTACAACCAGTTCTGTCGTATAAACCATTTCAGTGGTTCTGACTCGTGTGCAGTGTAGTGCCGTACAGGTCACTTGTGGTAACTCCGGCTAGATTGATTAATGAGATTGATTATGAGCTATAGCTTCAACCGGGCTGATCACTCGGTTGACATGTTATTATTTATGATGAACTTACTTCACTGATATACTTATATGATATGATGAAATATATTTTGACATGGCATATACTTTACATATTACTATTTCTGAGCTGGTTTTGAGATAAGTAATTATATTTTTATATTCCTGGGAAACTATACAGGTTTTACAGAGATGGATTACCACGTTATGAGAAATGTTTTGTCTTTGAAAAGATTTGTTTTACTGACCCACTCAACTTTGTTTTTCACCCCTCCAAGTTCTAATTAGCTGAGTTTGGTGGCCATGAGGAATCCAATGGTGTCCTGATAGAATTCACCAAAGTAGGATTTACTTTCGGGTGTTATATCTTAGTTATTGTTCTACTCGATTGCAACTAGACGTTCTTTTTACTCTGAATGTGTATTTATACACTAAGTTTCGCACTAGCATCATTTCTTAGCTAGCATTGCTAGTGTTTCAGCTTTTATTTATTCGTAATTCTATTTATTTTTTTAGCTTCCGCACTGTGCAAATGGTTACGTCACTCGCACGTGACGGCCAGCACGCCCTCCTTCGGGACAGGGTGTGTCATGCCAAACGTGTTCTTGCATAGTCCAGAGAATATACAAAAAGAAGAGATGAAGCACTAGCAGCACCGCCTGATGCCAGGTTCCTAGCAAACCACTTCCAGTAGCCATTTTTATCCTTCTTGAAGTTATTATACACTACCTAGCACACAAAAGCAGTACTTGTGTCCAAACAGCAAATGCTAATACCAAACTAAAAACCATAAATCATCATTCCTAGAAAACAACTTTTATTTTGATATTCAAATTCATGAAATCCTCTTTAAGCCAGACAATTGCAGAGAACTCCGGGTCCTCCATAATTCGGGGCGATTTATCCACATTTCCTACATAGGTTTTACTATGAAGTACCTAAAATGCTCCATTGAGCTGTCAATCATTAATCTTGTTTAAGTTTCTTCTTTAATTTGCTTTGGTGTTTTCGTTTCCTAGCACTGACTTCGTATTCAACGGAGCAATAACAAAAAATATGCAATTTCCACATAGCAATATAAATAATTTAAAAAAAAAGTATGCATACAAACACAAAGGGGTACACCTGCATATATACATGTCTAATAACTAATATATTTGGTAGATCATGACGGATTGCTGGAGAAATTTCAAAATATAAAGATAACAAGTAAAAAATGTGTTTTTTTATTTTATTTGCAGACATGGAACTTACTTATTAACAATTGTATTAGGGAATGTTAAAGGTCAAAAAAGATTGATTAGAACTTTAAAATGTATGAAGAAATTAAGGGAAACTGTAATATTGGAGAAATTTGTTAAGAAATGTCATGGAGAAGTGTTTGTACCTAGCAGTACCCCAATGCTGCGAATGCTCATGCTGCGGTTGCCCAGAACCTAATAGCCTTAAATTCCTTCATCCTCAAAGACTCCTAATATGGTGATTCGAAAAATGGTGATTTCGAATGGTATTGAAAATGAAAACAGAGATAAGGTGGAGAGATCGAAAGAGAGGTACAGAGATCAATTCGATTACAAAAGCGGAGGAATTGTTTCTGTGAAAAAGAGAAATCGAGATTAGGCGAAGACGTTGAGACCTGGAGATCGACAAGCAGAGATTAAGTGGAGTCCGGAGAGATCGAGAAAGGGAGAGAGGATTAAACGGGAACAGAGTTGCCGTTAGGGGTAAAACTGGAAACTCATTTCTTGGGCTAGTTTGATGTTGGACTTTGTTCTAACCATTAAATAAACTTAGTATCTGATTTTTTGTTAAAATTCAAAATTTTGAAATCTTTTTTATTAGTTTTCCTATAAAATTAACGTCTATAATTAAATAGGACATGTAAGAGACTAAAAAATGTGAATAATATTATTTCTTTTCTCACAATCATTTCAATTTTCGATGTTGGAATAATTGGTTGGTACATGTTGAACAATTTATTCACTCAATTCTCTTATTTGTCCTATCAAACATAAAGATTTTTTTTAAATTTACTTGTCCAAACTTGACTTATTAATTAATGTTAAGAAAGTCTATCGTACATGAGAACTGATACATATATGTCAAGGAAAATCAAACAAAAGATGGGATGGATAATACTTATATGTTTGAGTACTCTATCCATTTGTAATCAAATATTATAAGTTATCTGAATAAGGGGATGAAACATGCAAGTATATCTATCCATCCGCTCATACTTCTATAGGATAGAGTAACGTGTCCATCTACTCCTTGAATTATTACGTAAGTGAAAATTGGATCTCTAAACTATTTTTTTGATACATTAGTTTTAAATTAATTAAGATATGCCAATTAAATACTTCATATTATATTCAAGGCTATTTTATTTAATTTTTCGTCAATTTAAGTCATGCGACTTACATGTAATACACTTTAGAGGGTAAATGGTAGTTTGAATTTAAGGATTTACTTTTTCGACAAAAGAGTGTGCGGAGTAAAAACTTTAGAAGGTAAACTAAAATTTATGTTAATAAACAATAGGCAACACTAAGGACATATAGGCGAAAAAATGATGGTTTACCCTCCAAAATGTGATAGGTATAAGTCACGTAACTTAAGTTGACAAAAAAATTGTATAGAATCACTTTGAATATAATAGTAAGGATGAAAGTAACAGTTTTTAATGAATTTAGAGACTTAGTTTAACGAAAAAATAGTTTCAGGACCTAACTTTCACTCAGGTGATAAGTCAGAGATTAAATACACAGTTCACCCATACCATATAAACAAAGTTTATATCTTTATATATAAATCCAACAACCCCTTTTGGGGTCACAAGCTTCACCAAAATAAAGTAGACAGAAATGCCCCTCAAACAAAAAACTTCAAAAGCATCCCAAAATAATACAACAAATGTGGCAAGGGTATTTTCGTCATTTTAACAGTGTTTTTTTAATAATCTATTTTTGTTGTACAATTTTTTTTATTTATAATTAGTACCTCACAATAGGCTA